AAATTAAAAACTAATTCCGAACTGACAAAGTATTTTATCATTACAATTTGATTAATAATTCCTTTGATAAATGTAATGTAATAAAAATTCTTATCTCGAACATTTGTGAGAACGTTTTTTCTAACGTCATCGAATAAAATATTGATGAGTTTTGTACACCAACAAATCTCATACAAATTTTATCGATAACGATACGAATACGTTCTTACAAATATTCGTGATAGCCCCTGTTAATAATAAACCGATTGTAATGTCAAGAATTTCCAGTCACTATCTATTAGCGTGACAATAAACGATATAAATTTTTAAACCCATAAATTATAAACGCTGCAAAACAATTATAAAACTACCTATACGATTTATTTAAATTGTTCTGACAGAGCATTTATAAGTAACTTATGTGCCTGAAATAACTATGTACCTATCGATCGGTAAGATTATGTAAATACGTGGATTACATCGATGAAGTCATTTGTTGACAGTAACCTTGCTGCACACTGGTATGACATCATCCAGCATGTGATGAACGGTGATAATTAACCTCACATGAACACAAATAAATTTATCCTCGCATAAAATAACACTAACTACACCGTGCTAGAAAATAACATCATTTTATCATTGTGAACAGGGGGGTTTCTAGTTAAGTCCAACGTTTTTATTAACTAAATTAACTGATTCATGTTTATACTCTGAAATATCCTTTTAATCACTATCACTAACTAAACTGTTACTGGCAAGGCCACAATTTTATAAAAAATAACTTGGTATATCGCCTTCATTAAACAACAAAAAATAATAAGAGTCCATTAATGGAATCAGCATAGGAAATAATGCTATTTACAATTTAAAATTCCACAAGTCATAATAAAGCATGAGAAGATTTGAAAAAAGATGAATATTTTTAGAATACGCGTTTAACTTTCTGGAATTTCAGCTTACAATTTGTAATGCTAATGCATCAGACGAATAACACTGAAACTGAGATCGTTATGAAAACGTTTCGAAATATTACCAAGAATATTCGTCTGTACTCAGTACTCGACCACCGAAGTATTCATTCGCTGAATTGAATGCGCATGACTCATACGTTTTTTTGAAAAGACGCCACAGCAATTTATATAATACATTTTGCATGTCTGAAACGCGTTTAGTTATTACAGTATAAATGACTTCAATAATACACGACATAAAATCTAGACAAAAACTAAACATGCAAATTAAATTGTCACATCGACAAGGGAGACGGATTAAATTGTATTGCGCGATATGAAATACAAATTTCAATTAAGTTTTATTATGTTTACAGCTCGTCCACAACGACACAACACAGTGACAGCAGACAGTTAGCCGAGCCTAGCCACTGGGACAGTCTCAATTCACCTCTCATCCAGGATGAAGGTGATGGCAAATCTCTTAAGCTGCGCTTTGATGTCAGCCAGTACACTCCCGAAGAGATCGTCGTCAAGACAGTCGACAACAAATTACTAGTAAGTTCAAAAAGTAACTTCTATTATACCACTATTTATATGGAAATAACCTTAGTGTTTGACGTCAATGAAGGTATTGATCCAACACTTTGACTTAAAGGTTTCGACGCACTTTAGTCAAGAAAATACGGTATCATCACTACCAATAAAAAGCGCTACAATTTCTATTAAAATGAATAATGTTTGTTATTCCGTCCATAAACTCTCTTGACGTATAAACATCCATGAAATCAATTATTTGGGTAGATGGAAATCTATTTTTAGTAGGTTAATAAGCGTGAGAATAGGACACTGTTTAGAATTACGGTTCGATCTAAAATACCTTGTAATAAAGCCAATTTATATACAGGTCAGTGAGAACGTCGCGTCCTAAGTATATTATTGAGACTTTAATTAATCTTACACGCTGTCACAATTCCGTCGGTGACGTGATGTAGGTCGTTGAGTTGATACACATCGAAAGTCACCTCGGAGCGTTTCGCACCGGCAACGTGCCAACGCTCCCATTAACGTGAGCTTTTACAGGGGTTGATGAACGAATGAGTGGTTTGCATTTATTCCTGCACAGATACGATCTAATACAACTCGTTAACAATTCCAGGTGCACGCTAAGCACGAGGAGAAGTCCGACACAAAGTCCGTGTACAGAGAGTACAACAGAGAGTTCCTGCTGCCGAAAGGCACCAACCCCGAGGCGATCAAGTCGTCTCTGTCTCGCGACGGCGTGCTCACCGTGGAGGCGCCGCTGCCACAGCTCGCTATCACCGACAGGAACATCCCTATCCAGAAGCACTGAGCGCTGCGCTCCTAGTGGTCTACTTCGACACCAGCTATTCCATACTACTGTTAATAATTTATTATAATTTACGTTTTATAAATTACTATAAGAAATATTTGGATATTATCTGATATTTATTTCGATTTTAGATTAAAGAATCTCAATCTTTAACACGTATTGATTTTTGTATCAGCGGATTTTTAATTCCGCTCCTTTTTGCCGATCGCAGCGTATCGCACTTCATTTTTGTTGCTTTAGCGATGACGCTTGTACTGTGATGGGTGATTTCTCGCATGGTTCGTGCATTTAAAATATTTTCAGATAACTCCAATGGTATTGAGATTGTTTGCACGCGACGTTAAAATTAGGCGAAATTACCAAAATACGAAATTTAGGATTATAACAGTCACGGCTTAAGACCTACTTGTAATGGAGCTTATGAATTCGTGTTCACAATGAACTTAGTTTAAGTATTTGCTTAGACAACAATAGTCTAGCCTCTTGTAACACTTAAAGTCCATTCACCTTAACATAATTTAGAATGCAATAACAAACGGCATATTGCAATATACGATGTTAACAGCTTTTAACTTGATACACATTTATATTTTAGTACAAACAGTTGTTATGAAAGTTTAGATGTCAATAAAAAAAGAAAAGCATAAAGTTGTTTTAATTTACATTAATTTTTAGTTATGCATTCATCATGTTTAGATACAGACTTTTTGTACATATCTAATATTTAAACTTTATGATATCTTGACCTATAGCCACAATCCCATGATTCTTAATGAACATTTTACAAGTATTAAAATACTCTTATTTAATAATTTCTTCGTCCTAATATCAATTAAATTTAGGCACAATTGGTAACAACTACAATCAATAAAATCGATATCATAATCCACCTGATAATCTGCCTAGGAAAGTCGACGACCTTGTCTTGTATCGCGGGGTAACGAACTTACAGATTATCCTTATTATTTTATGAGTCTACTGGAGATAACAGTTTTTTTAGGTTAAATTATTCTAAGTATTTATTGAGTGAACCTAGAGTAGCAAAAGCTTATCTTGTTATCGACATAAGGGTTTATGTTTGTTAGGAAAAAAATATGTAATCAGAATCAATGTGGCGACAAAAGTATAGTAATACCGGAGAAACTTTGGATCGATTAAAGTATATTTGACTCGAATAGCCGTGTACAAATTTGTACTTTTTTTAACATAAATAAACCAGCGCTTGACCACGACTCCACCTAAGCTAAGTGAAGACGCGGCAGAGGGATAAAGACTTTCACAGATGGTAGTTATTTGTATTCCCAAATATAATTACATCCCAGATTGTGTACTATTATCATACTCAATACTTTATTACTAATATTATAAGTGCGAAAGTTTGGATGGATGTTACTCTGTATCTTCAAAACGTAACGGAATACTTCGACATATGTTTTTATTTAAATTCCATCCGAAGTGAGTCACAGGCAAAAGCTAATTGTGGAATAATTGAAAGGAATGGTATTTTTTAAACGAAACAAAAAAAAACAGGGAATTAGAATGTGTGCTTATCTTTGTATGTGTGTGTCAACATGTCAATTAACTTCAAAAAGGAAATAGCACTATTAACTCGACAGCGGCAATTTATAGTACATTTCGTAGTCATTTTAGTTGATATGCCTGCGATTAACTACGCCTTTGTCTGCGTAAAAAAACGACATCCAAACAAAATACACTAAGACCATACATTGTAGAATAATCACTTAAACCACCCTTATAGCTGTTATGTCTATATTGTACAATTATTATTCACACATCATTTGGGACGTCAGTTAAAAAACACATAGAATTAGTAGGAAGTCTATAGAATCATTTGCTGTAACTCTAAAGTCAGTCATATTTAACTGTAACTGTGCGTATAGTTTTGTACCTAATGCTTTAATTATAGCAAATTTTATAATATAACCTCGGTATTCTGTTTGACCTACGTTTTCTAGTCTATTCTATTTTACAAAAATTTTATTTTACTAGACTTTAAGCTACTATGTAAGATAGTTGGTAGTGTATTTAGAGTGCTTTAATAGTTTTGTTAAAAAATTTTAATTATTTTATTATTATATATTTTATATTAACTGTTAATGAAACTAAATAAAGTTGGCAAATTCAAAGTCTATTAGTCAAATCAGTAAGATAGTTTGTGGCATATTATTTTCGTGTGAATTTCGCCTGTCTGCCAAATGCCAGTCAACGTAAATAGTCGTGAAGGCCGGCGTCAGTTGTGTAACGTATTATGATTTACAATGTCGTGTGTTGCATCGCTGTTGCTATGTCGAAACTTATTACCAAAATATAGAACTCAGTGTAAATTTAATTAATGTAGTTATCAATAGATTACATGTCTGGTAAATTTGCTTTATTAAGTGATGATTTATAGAAATTCTTAATTACATTTTGTACACCATCTTACGTAATATTTATTAATGCGAAAGTTTAGATGGATGTTAACACCATTTAATTTCAAAACGGCAACATGGATCTTGATGCGATTTGGTATAGGCATAGAACATAGTGTGAAATATACCACAAGTAAATATAATATAATCTCCTGAAGTTTTTTTTTATTCCGCTTAGATGGAGTTACGGGTAAGACCTAGTCTACAAAAATGACAGTGAATTACGAGACAATTAACCGGAAAGAGAGGACATTTACAAAAAGAAGAATAATTAAACATTCATACATACCAGTTCTTGTGTCTTGTACAAACACATAAACTCACAACAATAACATTTATTTCCTTAAGATATTAACAACAAAGTTTTTGGCATTGTATACGAGAAGGGCCGCAGTGCACACGACGACCACCTCCTTCAGGTAACTTACAGCTACGTCTTTTGCAGTCTTTTCCTTGATCAGATCCGCGGGTTGAGGATTCGATTTACTTACCTGGAAATTAACAACTTTGTTATATAAAAAAAACACAATAAATATTAAAAAATATACATATAATGAATGGGAATATCAATAGAATATGGATAAATAAGTTAATTTGGGTGTGATTGTAAGTATTGTATGGAAAACTAGCTTTCGCCCGCGACTCCGTCCGCGTGGAATAAAAAAAAAGTCTATGTGTTTTTCTAGACTATCTTCTATGTCTATGTCAAATTTCATTGAGATCTATTCAACCGTTTAGCCTAAAAAACCTAACAAACATCCATCCATCTAAACTTTCGCATATTAGTAAGATTAGTACATACTATGACCCTCTGTAGGGACAAAGCCAAGATAATGAAGATAAAAAATAAATATTTGCAACTTAAACCTTTTTTGTTACTTAATATTAAAAGGTTAATATGATCATTAGCAGAATATCATATGTGACTAATATTATAGAGTATTACATACCTTAGCGAGTAAATTTCTTAAAATTGCAGTCTCTTTTCTAATACTATTTATATTAATTTGAAACTTTTTGGCAGCAGCTTTAAGTCTAAAGATCAGAGGCGAGTCCGGTGGTTCATATTTGATTTGATTTTGAATCCTATTGTATTCCCGCAGAGTGTACTGTAGCGTGGCCTCCAGGATGTACATCTGATACAAGTGCGTCCCCAACGTTGTCAGACAATCTACCACACTGTCAAATAAAAAACTTGATTTCTACATGTAACCCAATTTCTCCGTCAGTTTTCACTATCGACAAGTCAAAAATACATTATTATTTTTTTCCTATGAAATGAGAGAACAGTGACTTTTATACATCTATACTAGCTTTCGCCCGCGACTCCGTCTGCGTGGAATTAAAAAAAAACAAAAGCAAGTAGCCTATATGTTCTTCCAGACTATCCTCTACATCTATACTTAATTTAATCGAAATCCGTTAAACCGTTTATGCTTCCTACTCTAACAAACATCCATCCATCCATCCATCTAAACTTTCTCATATGATATTTAACACTGAATGCACAAACATATAACACAAAGATATACTAAAACTTATCAATTATAAAATTAGTGCAAGGCCTTATTAATAATTGTGTTAAGTTGGTATAGAGGTTTTCAAATGTTTTGGCATCTCGGAACATCGAACATGAACGTACAGGAGAGCCACAGTTTAAAAATGGTAGCGCCCAATTTATTTAATCAATAATTCAGGAAGCTGCTTGCTCATTTGCCATTTTATCTTTGAATAATTGTGATCAAACGCCGAATTATAAATGATAAAAAAAAGAAAGCATCAGACCTTGAGCAGTTAACATATTTGAAAAGATATATACCTACAGTAACAATTGTTTATCTTTGTCTACAGAGAAATTAGTGTCACTTTATAAATAACATCAATGTAGAATGTATATGAAGTACCTATATTCATTAGATTTCTTGGCATAAAGTCCAGCGACTGCATTAAGTTTCCATCCTCGCATGTGGAAGTTCCTCAAGCCTTGCCGCAGCCTCTGTCTCTCATACGGCATCTCCACGCCCAGATTTATCATATCCTTTTCTTCTAGAAGTAAGAATGTTCTTAAATCCATTCCGCTGTCCATAAACAGTTGTGTTAGGCGTTCACAGTTCATTCCATACAGCAAATTGGGTATTTCACTAACATAGTTTGGCCTGAAATAAAATATAACATTTTAATATGTATAAATTATTTGCCGTTAATATAATAAGTTTGTCTAGGTTTCAATGTAAAGAAAATTTGTAAATACTGCTTACCTTTGACCATTCTTTAATCCAGGATAAAAATCATGCCACGATGCCACTTGATTGAAAATATATTTCTTTTGGTTGTTGTCTAAATCAACATTTTTATTGAGATGCTTATTAACAATATTGAGAATATCTTGGTAGTCGTGTAGATTGGCTATTTCTAGTGGGGTGCGGCCAGATCTATCTACTTCTTTCAATCTAGCTCCACGCTGGATTAGGATTTCCACTATGTTCGGCTGATTGTGATGTACCGCCCAGAACATTGCCTGGAAATATTTAATAAAGGTACGTTTAAAAATTTGGGATATAATGATAGAAAAGTACACTACCCTACCTATACTCTAATTAGTTGTGTTCGGTACAGATAGCACGGGTTCGTCACATTCGGTGGCGAACATAATTTAAATTTAGTGCCCCGCGTTTAGTG